TCCGGGCTGGGGATTCGAACCCGCCACCTTAGGTGTACGTGGCTGGCGCCTTAGCCGGTTGAGCTATAGGCACCGAGCCCAGAATCATTTCTAAAGCATGCTACAATCCACTTGCCAAATACTTGAGCCAAAAAAAAAAAAATCCTATGCTATCATCTGTATATAAAACAGAAGGGCTAGGTGTGGTGGCTTCACACCTGTAATCCTAACACTCTGGGAGGCCAAGGAGAGTTGATTGCCTGAGCTCATGAGTTTGAGAGTAGCCTGAGCCAGAGCAAGACCTAGTCCCTAAAAAAATAGCCAGATGTTGTGGTAGGTGCCTGTAGTCCCAGGTACTTGGGAGGCTGAGGCAAGAGAATTGCTTAAGCCCAAGAGTTTGAGGTTGCTGTGAGTTGTGACACAAGGCACTCTACCCAGGGTGACATAATGAGACTATCTCAAAAAAAAAAAAAAAAGGTAGAGAGAAAAAATGGGGTAATATGTCCATATTTGCTTGAATAACCACAGAATTTCTCTAGAAGGACATGCAGTTGCCCCTGGGGAAGGGAATTGAGTAGCTGAAAGATAAAGGTAGGAAGGAAATTTTTCACTATAAAATAGTCCTTATGCTTTTAGAATTTTGAACCAAATGGCTTGGCTCCTGTAGCACAGTGGTTACAGCACCAGCCACATACATCCACGCTGGCAAACCTTGCCCGGGCCAGTAAACAATGACAAATGCAAGAGCAAAATAGCTGGGCATTGTGGCAGGTGCCTATAGTCCCAGCTACTTGGGAGGCTGAGGCAAGAGAATCACTTAAGCCCAAGAATTTGAGGTTGCTGTGAGACTCTACCAAGGGTGACAAAGTGACTGTGTCTCAAAAAAAAAAAAAGAATTTTGAACCAAGTGAAATGTTGGTTCAATAGAAAGAAAAGAAGAGAGTTGAAGAGCACTGGACTTCCATACTCTTGATCCCTCCCTGTCTACTCTTGGGCCCACCTGTATTCTGTGGCACTGTGGTAAGGTGTGGTGCTCTGGGGAGGGATGTGGCAATTGTGGGTGCTGTGCCCAGGCCTCGTGTCCGCTTCTGGGGAAAGATAAGAAGAAACAGGGTCCATAATCACTCTACCGAATTGGTTTATAATCTCTCTCACTTATATACACAACCATGCACACTCACACATATACACATGCACAAGTCTCCACACTCTGCTCACCTTCTCAGGCTCCAAGGCATCCTCCATCTGATCAAGTCTCCTCTTGAGTCTGCTTCCTGGGAGAGGGAGCCGGGAAGAGGCCTTAACTAGGTGTCTCTTCAGGTCTCTATTCCCCTTTACTTCTAATAGGGGAGATCTCTATTGAGGAAAAAAATACCCTTAAGACAATACTCAGGAGTCCAAATGTCAATTTTTTTTTTTTTTTGAGACAGAGCCTCAGGCCATTGCCTTGGGTAGAGTGCTGGGGCATCACAGCTCACAGCAACCTCCAACTCCTGGGCTCATGAGAGTTTCCTGCCTTAGCCTCCCAAGAAGCTGGGACCATAGGCGCCCACCACAACGCCTGGCTATTTTTTGGTTGCAGCTGTCGTTGTTGTTTTGGCAGGCCTGGGCTGGATTTGAACCTGCCACCTTAGGTGTATGTGGCTAGCACCTTAGCCACTTGAGCCATAGGTGCCTAGCCGGAGTCCAAATGTCTTAAGACCTTTCCTTCTTGTCTCCCAGCCTCAATTCTCAACATCAACACCAAGCATTAACTCAGTAGCACATGCGTCAAAAGGTAGAATTCACAGGCTCGGCACCTGTAGCACAGTGGTTATGTCACTGGCCACATGCACAGAGGATGGCGGGTTCGAACCTGACCCAGGCCAGTGAAACAACAATAACAACTGCAACCAAAAAATAGCTGGGCATTGTGGTGGGCACCTGTAGTCCCAGCTACTTGGGAGGCTGAGGCAAGAGAATCCTTTAAGCCCAAGAGTTTGAGGTTGCTGTGAGCTGTGATGCCACTGCACTCTACCAAGGGTAACATAGTGAGACTCTGTCTTAAAAAAAAAAAAAAGGTTGTTTGATAAGGGATCTAAATATTAAAAAGATAGAATTCACAGATCATGTTCATGTTCAAACAGCATGAACAAAAGTGAGCCATAGCCATAACATGAAAGAATAATCTCTAAGGGAAAAGGCGTATGGATGTTATTTATGTCTGAGCTAACTTTAAAGGTCGTTCTCAAATGAGCAGAGAAATGCACACTGTTTAGAAGGCAAAAACTCAAACACCTACATGGTATTGGTACTTCTGGGAAACAAAAAGAATCTTTAGGCGGAGCTAAAAGTCATAAATAAGTTAAAGAGTAAAAAATAAGAGGGCCAGGCGTGGTGGCTCACGCCTGTTATCGTGGCACTCTGGGAGGCCAAGGCAGGTGGACTGCTTGAGCTCAGGAGTTGCAGACAAGCCTGAGCAAGAGTGAAATCCCCATCTCTACTAAAAATAGAAAGAAAATCAGCTGGGCGCTGTGGCAGGCACCTGGAATCCCAGCTTCTTGGGAGACTAAGGCCAAAGCATTGCTCAAGCCTAAGTGTTTGAGGTTACTGTGACCTACAATGATGCCACAGCACTCTATCCAGGGCAAAAGAGACTCTGTCTCAAAAAAAAAAAAAACCAACAACAACAAAAAAAAAACTTTACTGCAACTTCACGGGACTTCAATGTTTACTAAGTGTTTGTTATATGCCAGGAAATGATCTGCTGGCTTCCTGTTTTAGATGGCCATCTGGAAAAATTTACATTTAAAAAACAAGAACTTGGGCAGCACCTGTGGCTCAGTGAGTAGGGCACCAACCCTATATATGGAGGGTGGTGGATTCAAACCCTGTCCTGGCCAAACTGCAACAAAAAAAAAGCCAGGTGTTGTGGCGAGCACCTGTAGTCCCAGCTTCTCGGGAGGCTGAGGCAAGAGAATCACCTAAGCCCAGGAGTTGGAGGTTGCTGTGAGCTGTGTGTGTGATGCTGCCATGGCACTCTACCTAGGGTGATAAAGTGAGACTCTGTCTCTAAAAATAAATAAATAAATAAATAAATAAATAAAACAAGATCTTTCTCAGTGGTCTTGAAACTTTATAAGTTTTGACAACATGGGTCTGGATTCCTACCTGCCAGTGGTTGACTGGAGCTGAGCTGCAGCCTCCCACACAACCTTCATGCCCAGCACCCCTGGATACTGGAGGTCATGGCCCCAGTGGATGCAGAACCCATGGCTATGGGAGGGCTGACAGTGTTTTTAACCTGAGTCCTCAGGATGAAAAAGAAATAGTTTGGCTCAGTGCCCATAGCTCAGTGAGTAGGGCGCCAGCCACATACACCATGGCTGGCAGGTTCAAGCCTGGCCCAGGCCTGCTAAACAACAACAGCAACCAAAAAATAGCTGGGCATTGTAGCATGAGCCTGTAGTCCCAGCTACCTGGGAGGCTGAGGCAAGAGAATTGCTTGAGCCCAAGAGTTGGAGGTTGCTGTGAGCTGTGATGCCTCAGCACTCTACCGAGGGTGACAAACTGAGACTCTGTCTCAAAAAAAAAAAATGTCTGGAGACTGAAGTCTGGAAGGATTCTGATGATTTTTAGTCAGGAGAATATGACTAGATTTGTACTGAAAAAGTGAACTGTGAGCAATGTGAAGAATGAAATGGAGGTGGAAGAAAGAGGGATACCACAAACAGAAGCGATTCCATTATCATTCAACAAAAGATTTGTTGGGCCAAGAGAGATGGTTCACATCTGTAATCCCAGCACTCTTGAGGTCAGGTGGGTGGATTCCTGAGCTCACAAGTTTGAGACCAACCTGAGCCAGAGCAAGACCCCGCCTCTAAAAACAGCTAGGTGTGGCAGGCGCCGGTAGCCCCAGCTACTCAGGAGGCTGAAGCAAGAGAATGTCTTGAGCCCAAAAGTTAGAGGTTGCTATAAGCTATGACATCACCGCACTCTACCAAGGGTAATAAAGGGAGATTGTCTCAAAAAAAAAAAAAAAAAAGTTTGCTGGCTCAGCAACTGTGGCTCAAGAGGCTAAGGCGCCAGCCACATACACCTGAGCTAGCGGGTTTGAATCTGGCCCTGGCCTGCCAAACAACGATGGCTGCAACCAAAAAATAGGCTACAACCAAAAAATAGCCAGGTGTTGTGGCAGGCACCTGTAGTCCCAGTTACTTGAGAACTGGCAGTAGGAGAATCGCTTGAGCCCAGGAGTTGGAGGTTGCTGTGAGCTGTGATGCCACAGCACTCTACCTAGGGCAACAGCTTGAGGCTCTGTCCCCCCCCCAAAAAAAAAATTTGCTACACTAAAATTTGTTGAATACCTACTCTGTGCCAGTGTTCTAGGTGCTAGGGTGAAAGTATTAAGTCTTTGCCTTACCAGAGTTTATTTTCTAGGGCAATCCTTTAAAACTGGAGTACCACAAAAATTACACTCTATATAGAAAGTGGTCTATTTTCTCATTTCTCCTAAGGATATACATAGCTCTTGCCATTCTGCACACATGAGAGAGAAGTAAATTCACTAGATGCAAGCAAAGGATACCTAATGGCACTAGCAATTAATTCTCAGGGAACTCAGCTGAGAGGGGGGCTATTCTAGGAGTCCAAGGGCTAGACAGAAATCCATCTGAGAGAACCAGGTGAGTTTTAATGAAGCTAGGCAATGCAATGAACAAGTGGGGGCTAGATTATATGAAACCAAGTATTGATTGAACTAGGAAGAGAGAGAGAGGAGTTCAGGCTCATTCCAAGATGCCCACCAGAGTTCCATAAATCAAAATCACAGGAAGTGGCTCAGCATCTGTAGCTCAGCAGCTAGGGTGCTGGCCACATAAAATGGAGATGGCCGGTTCGAATCTAGCCCAGGCCTGCCAAACAACGACAACTACAACCAAAAAATGGCCGGGTGTTGTGGCGGGTACCTGTGGCCAGTTACTTGGGAGGCTGAGGCAAGAGAATCGTTTAAGCCCAAGAGTTTGAGGTTGCTGTGAGCTGTGAAGCCATAGCAGTTTATCCAGGGCGACAGCTTGAGACTCTCTCTCATAAGATAAAATAAAATAAAAGAGTATTCACTATGTCCATTTCCTCTTCTAAAGCCATTCCAATCAGGCTTTCATTCTCACCCTTCCACCAAAACTGCTGTCCCCAAGATAACTTCATGTTGCTAAGGCAATTCTTTACTTTCATGTTTTTTTTTTTCCTTATCTTCCTTTATTTTTTTTGAGATAGAGCCTCACTCTGTCACCCTTGGTAGAATGCTGTTGTGTCACTGCTCACAGCAACCTCAGACTCTTGGGCTCAAGCAATTTTCTTGCCTCAGCCTCCAGAGTAACTGGGACTACATGTGCCCATCACAATGCCCAACTATTGTTATTGTTGTCATTGTTGTTTTAGCAGGCCCTGGCTGGGTTGGAACCCACCCACCCTGGTGTATGCAGTCAGCGCCCTAACCACTGAGATAAAGGCACCTAGCCACACCCAGCTATTTTTAGAGATGAGTTCTCACTCTACATCAGGCTGGTCTCAAACCTGTAAGCTCTGGGAAACCGCCCGCCTTGGCCTCCCAGAGTGCTAGAATTACAGGCCTGAGCCACTGGACCCAGCCACTTTTCTGTTTCCTGACTTTCTTCATATAGTTTTCACAAGATAAACTGTGATCAGCAGCACCACTCCCCATTACCTGACTTCCTTTCCCACAACTTTCCCCTGTCTCACTTCATTCCAGCCACAATGGCCTCCTTGTAATATAATTCTTTAGGAATTCTTTGCTCTAGTAGATCCCCTCTGTCCATTCTTCCCTCACTATTCACTTGCCTATTCCCCTCACATCCCTCTAGTCATTTTTGTTTATTTTTTTGAGACAGAGTCTCACTCTGTGGCCCTGGATAGAATGCTATGGCATCAGTAACTCACAGCAACCTCAGTAGTCTCTCGAGCTCAAGAGATTCTCTTGCTTCAGCCCCGGAGTAGCTGAGACTAGCCACAACACCTGGCTAGTTTTTTTCTTTTCCTTTCTTTTATGTAGTAGAGATGGGGTCTTGCTCTTGCTCAGGCTGGTCTGGAACTCCTGAACTCAAGCAATCCACCCCCCCTCCCCTGCCTTAGCCTCCCAGATTCCTTCTTCTTTTTTTTTTTAAATAGGGCTTTGTTATAATTCCCCCCAATTTTTCACATGTTCTGTTTTATTTATTTATTTATTTTTTGCGGGTTTTTTGGCCAGGGCAGGGTTTAAACCCACCACCTCTGGTATATGGGGCCAGAACCCTACTCCTTGAGCCACAGGCACCACCTCTCCTTCAAGTCTTTATTTAACTCTCACTTTCTCATTTCTCAATAGCTCTTACTGAGACCACCCTATTTAATACTCTATCCTGCCAGATGGCCTCCCCTCCTCCCTCTAATCTACTTGAATTTTTCCTTTTCTTCACAGTACTTACTGCCTTCTTTTTTTTGAGACAGAGTCTCACTATGTAGCCCTAGGTAGAGTGCTGTGGCGTCACAGCTCACAGCAACCTCCCATTCTTGGGCTTAAGTGATTCTCTTGCCTCAGCCTCCCAAGTAGCTGGGACTACAGGCACCCGCCACAATGCCAACTATTTTTTTGTTGTAGTTGTTACAGTTGTTTAGCCCACTTGGGCAGAGTTCTAACCGGCCATCCCCAGTGTATGTGGCTAGCGCCCTAGCTGCTAAGCTACAGGCACAGAATCCATTTACTGTCTTCTAATAGAGTTATACAATTTATTTATTTATTATGTTTATTCTCTGACTTCCCACAGAATGGCAACTCAGAGATTTCTGCTTTGTACACTACTGTAGACCAAGTACCTAAAACAGTGCCTGATAGACAGTTAAGTGCTCGGTAAATATTTGATGAATAGATCTGGAAGGCTTTTACTATTTCTCACTGTCACATCGCGCTCCTATTCTCTTTCGTTGCCAGGATATACAGAACACTAGGTTGAATCCTGACATTGGGTAAATCAGAACGTTGCATACTGGTAAACAAAGGACTCAGGCAGGAGACCTTTTCTGGCATCAGAGGTCACTACACACACATTCATCTCTCTACTTCGGAGGGGGAAGCGGTGGTTGATTGTAGAGTGCAGCAGTGAACAGACAAGAGAAAGAACCTAATCAACCAGTCCCATGGAGCAGGAATCTGCAAAACCTGAGGAAGAAGAGAGAATGACGAAGTCCTTCAGCCCAGATGATCCTACTCCCTCTCCTTCCTACAGCCCGAAGCAAGAGCAATGACGAGACAACAAAAAACAACATCAACGGGGATGTGGCCTCAGACTCAATCATTTCCCTGAAGGTAAATGTCATTTCAGAACTCTCCCTTCCCACACACTGCAATCCTAAGACTGGAAAGGGGAAAAGGGGTCCACCAAGACAGAATTTGAAGTGGGAAACCTTGAAGGCATGAAAGCGAGGAAGCGACTCCTGAAACTTAAAGCCCAGGCGAGACGATGGAGCTGAGACGTCGCTCTCATCTCCTAGGGGTGCTCTCTGCCTTCTCCAGTACCTCCTCCGCCCCCCTTCTAGTGCGGCGGAGGCACACGGACTTTCGCTCTCCAGGCAGGGATGACAAAGGCCAGCCAGGAGCCGAGGACTCGATAGCATCGGGACGGCCAGCAGTCGTCCTGCTCTCAAGGTGGGACACCGTGCCGGCACTTACTCACCTGAGGCTCCATGTCCACCTCCGCTCTACACACGCCGGGGGAGCGCAGTGAAAAAGGACTGGGGGCCAGGGATTCCGGGACCCACGTTCTATCGCCTTGCTTAGGTAGCAGAGCACGCAAACTACCGGTCCCGGAGGTTACCAGTCCCGCGCCACACCCGCTACTTTTGAATTCCAACGGCCACTACCAATTCTCACCGCGCTCCGTACGCAGGGGCCAATCGTCGCTGTCGCCACAGTGGAGGGCCAATCGCAGAGCCCTCCGCCTCCAAAAGCCACACCCCGCCCGGCCCGCGCCTCCCCTGGCTGTATCGCCGGAGCCTGGGAAGTAGGCGTATTAATTCCACTTCCGTCCCACTTTTTTCTCTCACCCCTACCCTCCTCTGGCAGTAATCCAGCTGGATTTCTGCTCTGCTCCTTGGCGTCGCTCACTACGTAAGCAATAGCGAAGACGTTGCACGAACGTAACTGGCCAAGAGTAACTGTGGGGGAGGAGCAAAGAGGGAGGAGGTGGGACGCTGGGGCAAAGGAATCACGCTTGCGCAAACCAGGATCCGTGCAGGGCAAGGGGGGACGAGCGCCTCCTAGCGCCTGCAGTACAGACCGCACTCGTTAGCTGCACCTGCATTGACATCACTGGGATTCTAGCACGGCCTCTGGTGGTGGGGCTTATACTGGCCTCAGAAGTGGCAGCTGGTGCCTTTACGTGGATTTGAGAAGCTAGGTCTGTACATTCTTCCGTCTGTCTTTTGCCTTTTCTCACCAAACGTTGGAACCTTGGGTGCAACTTCGGCTCCATGGAAGCACGACGGTGGAGATTTGACGCTCAGAAGAGGATTTTTCTCCGCAGTACCCTTTCTCACCTCACTTACCTCCTATGTACCTGGGTGCTGTCACTAGTGCTGGCTTAGAACCTTTGGAACCTAGAACACAGGAGGGGTTTACAGCTTCCATTTTTGGAATATTTTATGCTTTTCAGACTCTGAACTTGCATTATTTAGCTTAATCACAAAAATTCATTGAGCTCTTACTGTGCGCCAAGTTCTTTTGTATAGCTAGATGAAGCAGATAGTTTAGAAAAATTAAATAACAAGTACAGTGTCGCCCTGCTGTTTGGGAGTGGATCTAAATCAAAGCTAGTTCTGTTAACCCATATTGCCTCTAACAATCTTAGTAACAAAAACAACCTCTTCCGGGCGGCACCCGTAGCTCAGTGGGTAGGGTGCCGGCCACATACACACAGGCTGTGGGGTTCAAACCCGGCTCGGCCAGCTAAACAATGACAACTGCAAGAACAACAAAAATAGCCCGGCGTTGTGGCGGGTGCCTGTAATCTCAGCTATTTGGAAGGCTGAGGCAAGAGAATCACTTTAGCCCAAGAGTTTGAAGTTGCTGTGAGCTGTG